ACTCGAATGCACTCGAACGCACTACAAGTTGCGTCATGCCCTAACTTGTCACATCAACACATGTTTTGGAGAAAAGGAGAAGAAATATTTTAATGATAGAAATACATTTAATGTGCATGTTCCTCACAACTCTTTAAACTGACTCCAAGAAGTTCAGTTCTAGTTCTCCCCGGTCAACATCCCGGAGGCCAGCTAAATCACCTAAGGCTTCTCCTGCCCATTGAATGTCTGACAGAGTCTTGGGAGTAATTGTTTTGGATCAGTCAAAGGCCCATAAAGCTGAGGCCCAATCCATCTCAAATCTACCCCACTTGATCCGATGTATAAAAACCACTTCACGGAAAGAGTAAGACATACTTTTTTTATCTTCACTTTCACTACACTCATCTTGAATGTTGAACTAACTTGAATGTTGGAGTGCTAATCATACAGGTTCACCATGCGTCGCCGTACCGGAGATCAACATCATCTATTTGAGAGATCCAGTTCATCAACGACATCCATTTCTCGTGTAACTAGTTTTTGGTTTTCCTTGGGTTTAAACCCACTTGTATCTCAATAAAAAAAAACTTGATGTTATCTATGTTTGCATCTAAAACATATTTATTTTATTTTAAATTTCTTAGTTAAAATAATAAAAATAAAAATAAAAGAAATTAAAAATTATAAAATTCAAAAACTACTTCAAATAGCATTTTAAAAAAATCAAAAGCAAATTAAAAAAAATGATAAATCTCAGTGCTATTTTTTTTATCAAACATAACTTTTATTGATATGACCTTAAAATTTAAAGTTAATTTATTGGTATTACCAAACAACCTCTTAGTCTAATCCCTTTTACAAGAAAAAGTCAACAATTTAAAGTTATTTATCATTATTATTATTATAGCCTTTAATTATTTAATTAAAAATATATATAGCAAGAAGTTGATTATTAAATATTAATAATTCCTCTGACTTAATTTGTTGGTGAAAACCCAAAGCATATGGATGTGTAGGTAAGGATTTTTTCGAACTCAATCACAAGCTATGGATTTGATTCAATTATGAATATACAATGTTAAATTTTTTAAAGATCGAGTGATTAGTCTCTTAACAGTAGCGCGTTGAAGATAATAGATTTATCAGAATTGTTATATTGGCACCCTTTTCTACACTCTATACCTAATTTACTGTTCACAAATACTTAAACAAATTCCCCACGACATGGTTAATAGTGTTTATTTTATTGGTTAATAAAGTAGTGAAAGTGATTAATAAATTATAGATAAAATAATTGACTAATGATTTAGATTTTTGTGGTTAATACAACTGTGAAGTTGGTTAATGCGCAATCTTATATTTGTGTTATAAAATAAATTTTAAAAATAAATATTTTTTTTTAAAAAATTAATATTTTTAAAAAATATATTATTTTAATTAAAAAATACTGTTCACCATATAAATACGATAAACAGTGCAAACGGTGTAAGTATTGAGTGTAGAAAAAGGTGTAAGAATAACATTTTTCTAGATTTATACCAACAACAAAAAGTTATTTATGAAAACATGAAACTTAAGAATATGTTTCATTCAAGAATTGAGTTTCATTTTGGGAGTGGGGACCAAAAGTCCCGCAATTAAATAGGGAAAATATTGCTTTACCTAATTTAAGTGTTCATGTTTGAAATTAATAAGTCCCCTCGGTAAGAGGTAACAATAAAAATCAAGACTTAATTTATTTTATGAAATTGTTTTTATCTCTATTTTCAAATTCTATGTTAATTTTATTTACTAACAAAGAGATACTATTTCTTGAACAAAAGAACTATATACTATTTTTATAGCAATGAAAATATTAAAAGACTACTTTAATTATTTTTAAAATTAATATTTTTTATTAATTAATATTTCATTATTTTCAATCACAGTTGTTTATTTCTGAAGTCTCCTATCGTTTTATTTACACATAATGTAAAAAAGAAAATAAAAACTATTTTCATAAAGTAAACAAGAAAGAGTTTATAATTGGTACTATTAGTTCAACTTCTAGCAATCCAACTATTTCAAGACAATGCCTTTGCAGCATCACATTTTCCATCTATTACACGGCATGCAATGTTGAACATAAAGAAGATAGTAGAAAATAGTGAAATTCCTTATCCGACAAGTTAATTCGATGAAACTATCAAGTAAAGCGATGTTGTAACTAATTTAATTAATTTTATTAGATTGTTAGGAAGTTGTTATAAGTTAGTTATTTGATTTAACTAATTATAATTAGGGGCGGCAAAGTGGCGACCCGTTCTGTTTAGCCCCGTCCCATTTAAGTCTGTTCAAAAATGAGGTGGGGCGGATCAAACCAACTTAAGCGGAAGATTTTATCTCATACCCCTACATTTATACCCACACTTCTACGCTAAAAAATATTAGACCAAAATACTCTTGTTTAAATATTTATAATTTTAGAAATTTTTTCACTTTTCACTTCATTTGCATTTCAACACTTCCGGAACACTCATTTTCCACATATAAACCGAAACTCTTCCAACAATTCATCCGGAACACATTTTTTCACCTACACATACCGGAACTCCAATAGTAAGTCTTCCGGTTTGTTGAATTTTTTGGTTTGTTCACCGGAAGACTTTATGTATGTCTTCCGGTTTGTAGTTTTTTTTTGTTTCTTCACCGGAAGACTTAATGCATGTCTTCCGGTTCATGATTTTTTGCTTTTGTTCACTGGAAGTCTTTGATTAAGTCTTCTGGAACATACGTTTTACGTTTTGTTCACCGGAAGTCTTTGATCAAGTCTTCCGGTTCAATTTTTTTTTAATTTTTAATTTTTAATTTTATTTATTTATTTATTTAGTTTGTCAGTGGTGCGCACACGAGGCAGAGATGGTATGATCCCTCGTGGACTAGGACGGGGTGAGTCATCGAGAATGACTGAAGAAGAGTATTTTGATGCATCTGCATCAGCATCCGAGCCTGTTGGATATCCATGAGGATCGTATGATACCTCTCTTTTAGTTAAGTACGAACATCATGTTGCTAGACATATATGATTCGATGAGGTAAGTAAACGAAAATTATTTAATATTGAATAGAATTCGAATTTTTAATATTGAATTTTATAATATATTTACTTTTAATTGTTTTCAGGAGAGAGGGCCGAAGAAAGAGTTAAAGGTAGCGGGACATGGGTTAAAGTTGATTCAGAGGGTTCCACTACAGCTACCCAGAGAGATGGAGGGGTGGATATCTAGGTCTGGTCTAGCTTCACTCCAGAGAACCAGTTTAACAAAGATAGACACGAACCTGGTTTCCGCATTTGCAGAGAGATGGCATCTAGAGACATCTTCATTTCACATGTTGTTTGGTGAGATGACGATTACTCTAGATGACGTATCTTGCCTGCTTCACTTGCCCATCAGAGGAGTCTTCTGGAGCCCTCAAGATATCAGTGAAGCGCTTGTTGTTGAGTGGGCTGCTGATTATTTATGAGTGTCACAGAGAGTAGCACAATAACAAGTGCGTGACTGCAGAGGTTCCTACTATAAGTTGGAGTGGTTATATGATCGACTCGTATAGCATAGAGTTGCATCAAGATGGGATTATGCCAGTAGAGCTTATTTGCTGATGTTAGTAGGTTCCACTATTTTTGCGGACAAGACGTTTACGCTTGTCGAGGCACGATACCTCTTACTATTTATAGACTTGGATGGTTTATCAGGATACAGTTGGGGAGCAGCTAAGTTGGTTACTCTTTATAGATATCTCGGAGATGCTTCCATGTTCAGTTATAAGCAGCTTGGTGGTTATCCGACTCTCCTACAGGTATTTATTTTAATTTAGTATATTTTGTTTTAATTAATTTTATCTAGTATATTAATTTTATTTATCTGATTTATTATGTTATAATTAATTATTTTAAATTTAGTAACCATATTAATTTTGTAATAGTGTTGGATTCATGAGTATTTTTCAACACTTGGAAAAAGAGGAGAGAATTGGATACCAACTAATAATGTGGGTCTCCCTCGAGCGATGAGATGGTCCTATAGGCAAGGTGCCTTGAAGGTGGATGACTTGTGACCTATTCTGGACGAGCTGACACCTCCCGATGTCATATGGCGCCCATTTGAGAATCATAGAGTATGGCGTCAGTTTGATGAGTTATGTCTCTATAGGGGGTGTCTGAGGTGGAGTGACACTATTGTTCCATACTTGCCTGACAGATGTATGCGTCAGTTTGGATACAGGCAATATGTTCCACATCCACCTCTTGATTCTCGAATGGCTAGTGATATTGATGTTGACTGGATTAGTTACCATCAGAGCGTTCAGGATGTGATTCGTCCGACAACACCGGCCACCACCCCATATGAGACAGATGATGGATATCTTGAGTGGTATTATCGTGTTTCGCATCCTCGTCTGGTACCGCCCAGTGTTCATGCGACAACAGAGATGTCAGTTTCTGTATATGAAGTAGGACCATATGATCCTATATTGGCTCGTATGTCTTCATTGATTCATCATTATCTTCAACAGGCTGGTGCTGAAGAGGATGACCCACAGTTTGCTGATTTGTTCAAAACTTTACATCTTGGTCGATCACAGTGACTTATATTTATATTTATGGTTATATGTTAACTTTTAGACTCATTTGACCTAATTGGTTTATGTTCATGTGTTAACTTTTAGACTCATTTGACCTAGTTGGTTTATGTTTATGTGTTAACTTGTAGCCTGAAATAAAAAATGAATAACATAATTCACGATTCATGTTTTGAAATTAAAAATGAGTAACATAATTCACGATTCATGTTTTGAAATAAAAAATGAGTAACATAATTCACGATTCATGTTTTGAAATTAAAAATGAATAACATAATTCACGATTCATGTTTTGAAATTAAAAATGAGTAACATAATTCACGATTCATGTTTTGAAATTAAAAATGAGTAACATAATTCACGATTCGTGTTTTGAAATAAAAAATGAGTAACATAATTTATAATTCATAATGCGTTGGTAATATAGGCGTAAGTTGTTGCCAATGTTGTAGACGTCCTGGAGAACGAAACTTCTTCCAATCTACTGTCACTGGTGGCAATGGAAACCCTTCTTTCATGCTTACCTAAATTAAAAAATAATCAAAATATTAAGTAAAAATAAAGAGAAAGAATTAGGTTTAATTGTATTATCTTAAAACAACTAAGTACTTGAACCCAATGATTTCTGTTTATAAAACCAATGCAGTAAATTGATACATTTGGTGAAACATTATAACGATTCGCTATCACGTAACCCATATCTAGTAGAGTTAACCATTTATGTGGTGGTCGAGGACCAAATTCCTCTATCATCAAAGATTCTCTCACTACTGCTAACTGATCAGTAAATAAATTGGCATACAAACTTGATCTTTCATTATGTATTATTTCCAACCCAAAGTCTCGACGAACCATTGGTCAACCATCTTCACCATATCCATGCAATGAAGCAATGACTCTAAATCCACAATTACCATCTGATACAACATTAACTACATCATCAATATATGACCTGATGTGATTAGGAAACTGAAGGATGAATTGCTTAGATGACTGTGAAGATTGTGATAATTTCAACTTCTTCGAAGCCTGTGATGGTTGAGATTTCTTTTGTGAAGACTGTGATAATTTCAAATTCTTCGAAGTGTGTGATGGTTGAGATTGCCTCTGTAAAGATTGATATGCTTGATCAACATACTCGTGATACGAAGGGTCTCTATAAACATCATACCCTACTGGTTTTTTGTCTTTTTTCTTGACTCCCCCTTTAGTTTTTATTTTCTCAGGTGGTGGACACATAGAAGTCATTGTGGGGAAGGCAAGTTCAAAAACCCTACTTTTTAATGCCCTTTTCCCAACAACATCTAGTGACTTAAACCTTTTCCATAACTCATCTAGTGAACTACTCATGTCCACCTCTGATCCATTATCTACGTCTTCGTCCAACTTAACTTCCATACTTAGTTTTCTCCAATAAACATGCACAACATCTATTGGTATCAGTATACCATCAATTCTATATCCTATCAACTCACAAGCACAAAGTAATTCGTAGGTTGTTCTAAGAGTACAACGACACATTTCCTTGTTAGTTCCAACATAATCAACTCGTTTTAACTCTTCGGCAATGCGTCTCAATGCATCTCGAGACACTGAACCACGTAAATTATTGTAAAATGGACTTACGTGGGCGTGCTCGAGTTCATAAAAACTCTTTTTAAAAGAAGCTCTAATATTGCTCAATTGTAACTTTAAGTTGTCATTCATAGCCTCCCAACATTTGACCATGTCACAAATACTGTTCCCCAACATTTGCTTTAACTTCCAATGAGCAGACTCAACCCTAAAATTAATACATATTAAAACTATTTTAAAAAAATAAAAAATATATACAATTTAGAAATACTAAAAATAAATATGTACCGATTAGTCGTGGTGTTACCCAAATGTAGCACTCGATTAATCCATGCTCCAACAAATCTTTGTCTATGTGGTGTCAACCATGTATCCTTCACATAATCAATAAATTCATTACATTCAACACACGCCTGCTCAAGTTGGTTCAACCTTTGGTCATACTCAACCTTATCACTATCCCATACAATATCCGACCATAATTCGTCAATTTTCTTTTGCATGTCACTAGCCACATATTGTTTCCGTTTTGCACCAACATTCTTGTTAATATAAAATCGACATAGCAAATTGATCGACCTTGGAAACACAATTTCAATGGCTTTCATCAAAGCAAGATCTCTATATGTCAAAATCACTTGTGGACACACCTCTTTCTTCACAAACAATTGTTTAAGCTTATCTAGCACCCAACAAAAAGTCTCAGTCTACTCAGACTCAATATAGGCAAATGCGACAGCAAAAGTCAACTCGGTTGATGTCATGCCAACAATTTCAAACAGAGGTTGCCTATATTTGTTTGTCTTGTAAGTGTTGTCCATAACTAACACAATAGGAAAAATATTCAACAACTTAACTGAATATGGATGCGCCCAAAATATATCTCTAATAACTTCAGAGTCATCACTTTTTCTACTCCAATAAACATAACATGCATCCTCAATAAGCTTAAACAAATGTTGTATCTCACTTCTAGGATCTCTTATATTTTTTTCTATCATACTCTTCTGCTTGTATATTTGCGTGATCCGAGTGGCATTATCTAGATCTTGCTCTTGCAATGAAAGCAATATATGTCTAGATGGAACCTTTCTCTTTGTCAAATCAACAACATGTTGCTTCTGATCCGCTGTCAACCTACCAACAAATGAGTGACCTTCTAATCTATCAAGTAAATCATGGTTATGAACTTCACATTTTACATCAATCTTCCATCCAGATCCATCAGTAGCTGGAGTTGATCTGATTTTAAATGGACATCCACATTTTTTCGTCGCACTCTGGGTTCCACTGTCAATATCTTTGTGTTTTCCTCCTTTATCACATCCAAATATTAATTTGTTACTTCTTCCTCTCTTGCCTGTTTTAATATCTGAACGAGTGATGATAACCGTTACTTTATTTCAGATTCCGATCTCTTTAATCCATTGTATCACCTCTTCTCGTGTACCAAATCTTTGAGTAGTTGAAAAAACATCAGACGTATCTACGCATATCTGGTCTTTATCACATATTTGTAAAGGAATTTCTGAACCTGCATAATTTTTTTTTTAAATTAAAAAAATATACAAATGCAAACCGGAAGACTTGTAAAAAGTGTTCCGGTACACTTTTTCCAAGTACCAGAACTCTTAAGAAAAGTGTTCCGGTAAACTTCTACGAAAAAACACAAACCGAAAGTCTTTAATAAAGTCTTCCGGTACATAATTTGTGTAAACCGGAACTCTTTGTCAAAGTCTTCCGGTTTGTGTTTTGCTGCATACCATAAGTCATTGTGAAAGTGTTCCGGTAGGTTCGATTGTAAAATTCCTCGGAAGTCTAAAAATTTGAAATAGTAAAAAGTAAAAAAAATATAATATAATAAAAAATATTCAAGGATAAAATTGGTATTTTTTTTAAATCGTAGAGGTATGGGGTAAAATTTTCACTTAAGCGTCCGAGCTCAAAAATCAAGTCCGTCCCGTTTACTAACGAGTTGGCGAGTTGGCGGACCTACCCACTAATTTTTTACTTTTTATTTTATAATTTGAGTTACTACATAATTTTAAAAAAAATTATTATCGAAGAGGTCGACACAATTTTTTTTAACAACGCATAATAAAACTTCTAATATGTCTTAAGTCCAAACAGTTAAAAATATAAAATAAATAAAGATCAATTACAACAAAAGAAAAATGAAATAAACTCAAGCACAATAAAAAAACGTATCAAAATTAATAAACAATACATATGATCTTAATCTTATTTAAAAACTAACTATTAAAACAACCCAATTAAGAATTCATAAAAGACAAACAATAATAACAATTACACTGCATAAAATATCAACACTTGACTTTCTCACTCTTTACATCATATAAATTTTTATTTTGACTGATTCCTTAATAGTTAAATCTTAAATTTGTCACATGTATACACTAATCAAATCCTTAATTTTATCCAGTCAACATCTATTTTTAAAGAAAACATGCATGTAAGCTAATGTTTGACAATTTAAAAATTCAGCATGCCATAAAATTGTTCTTTTGTTTCAAATTTTTCCAATTAACATATGTATTAGAAAGTTATAGGGAGAACCTTACAATTATAATTCAATTTGTTTGTATAATAATTTATAATACAATTCAATCAACATAATCATAAAAGAAGAGTGTTATTTTTATAGTTAAAGTTGTTTTAATTCTAAGTAAGAAAATAAATTTTTTTAACAAAAAGTCCGCGGACAAAACATGACCCAACCCACTTTTCAATTGGATAAGGCAGAACGAGTCAACTTAAAGTATAAGTCGAACATCTCAGTCCAACCTGACAAAAATGACGGGTCAAACAGACCGACCCGTTTTGCCACCCCTAATTACAACCGGTTAGCCTAGCATCATTTGGTAGATTTGTGTAATTCTATTCTCCATTAATGCAAAGCTAGTTGTTCAATATTGTTCAATAGTGTTCTAGTTTAGTTTTCACACATGATGCCAATTTGCCTATAAATACATTACTTATCTCTTAGTTAAGATTCATTCACACCTTACAAAGTTCCATGAAATTTGCTATTAGCAATCATGTTGAACATGGCAATGGTTATCACTGCAACGGCAATTCTTATTATATTCTTATTGTTTTCTCCATCATCAGTAGCTATATTACTCAACAAGCTTCAGTTACCAACACCAGTTACAGGACCTGAGTCGCTCGCATTTGATAGAGACGGTGGAGGACCTTATGTATCTTCCTCTGATGGAAGAATTTTTAAATATATTGGTCCAAACGATGGCTTCAAAGAATATGCTTACACTTCTCCAAACAGGTAAATCGTTCATCATCGTCACAACTATTTACTAGCTAGCTTCAAATTAAATACTGTTTTCATAAATAATTTTAATTTTCAGGAATAGAACATTTTGTGATGGGCTTGCTGACTTCTCAACCGTCCAAGCAATTTGTGGCAGGCCTATAGGGTTAGGTTTCAACCATCGAACCGGTGATCTGTATGTAACCGATGCTTATCTTGGGCTTGTTAAGATTGGCCCCAATGGAGGAGGGAATGTAACGCTATTACCATGGGAACAAGCCAATGGTACCATTTATGCTAATGGTTTGGATGTAGACCCTGATACTGGAATCGTTTATTATACCATTTCTAGCACTAACTTTCAACTCAAGTAAGTATGGCTTTTCTCTCTACAATATTGATTGAAAAAACAGATTCTACTCTATAGTACATTTTACTAGTGCAATGAAATACTTGATATTTTGTAGAGATTTCCAGACACTTATAAACAGTGCAGATAATTCAGGGAGTTTCTTGAGATATGATCCAAAGACCAACCAAACAACAGTGTTGCTAAGCAATCTTGCATTGCCAGCTGGTGTGGCAGTAAGCAAAGATGGATCATTTGTACTTGTTAGTGAATATCTAGCAAATAGAATTCAAAGAGTTTGGCTCAAAGGGCCAAAAGCAAATTCATCAGAAATATTCATGCTAACTGCTGGAAGACCAGATAACATTAAAAGGAATTCATTAGGACAATTTTGGATTTCAGTGAATAGTTTTTTAGGACCACCAAGCTCTCTAAGATGCACTACTTTACCTTCAGGAGTTAGAGTCAATAAAAATGGTTTAGTTTTACAAGTTGTGTCTCTTACTGATGAGTATGGTGGTGAACCAGCAAGTGAGGTTCAAGAGTATAATGGAAAACTTTATGGTGGCTCCCTGCTTGCTAATTATGCTGCCGTTTTTACCCCCCTAGAGTTTTTCACTCTTTCTTTGTAAGGTTATTAAAAAATATTACAAGGGGACTAAATAAAAAAAATTATGTTAACATAAGACCATACTATTAAGAGTCTGTTTGATATGTAACAACATGTTCATCTGGGGTGACTTATTTATCTAAAAAAATAATATCGTTATTAAGAGTTAAATATGTTTATAGTTTCTTTAAATATAAATTTTTTTACTTTTTAGTCCTTGAAAAAAATTTTTGTCAAAGAATCATCCTTTTAATATTTTAATATTTATCTTCTACATTTTTAGTCTTTGAAACGGAAGCTGATGTGATAGTACAGGTTGAATTCAAACTATATTAAAAACAGAGTATGAAATGGAGAAACTTTCAAGTTACCCATGAAAGTATAAATGAGTTAAAAAAAAGCTATAGGATAATCATGTTGCCCCATGAATATGAAGTGTTTAGAATTAAGATTGAAATAAATTTTCAAAACATGAAAAAAGAATTCATTCATATTGTTAGTCATTTAAGAACTCTAGGTAAATATTTTGAAAATGAAGATTTAACTAACTAACTTCTTAGATGCTTTAACTGCAACGGACACTTTAGAGTCAATGTAATTTTTTTATCTAAAAACATGTCTTTTAATTTGGATACTCTATTTGATATTTTGCAAAAACATAAAATTAAGTTGAATTGCCTTGTTGAAAGAGAATAAGATGATAAGAAAAAGAAAATATATCATTCAAAGTTGAAGAAGCTAAAAAATCAGAAAGTGATGAAGATATGAATCTACTAGTTTGAAATTCCCAAAGGTTATTAGGTATGAAAAACAACATCAAAATTTCCAACATAAAATGAATAAAGATCATCTTTTGTGCCAAATGCTTTCATTGCAGAAAGAAAGCCGCATAAAGCTAAATTATTTTCAAAAAAAAAAAAAAATATGTAAAAAGGTGCAAAAGACATCAAAAAGAATAAAAAGAACTTACATTGTATGAAACAAAAATAATATGAACTCCTCGGATGAATATGAAAAAAAAAAGGAAGAACCTAATACACGTCTTATAGCAAACCACAAAGAAAACGAGATAAATGATTTAACATCTCAATTTACTTATTTTGAACGATTCCTCATTTGTCAACAAAAAAAACTAAATATTGAATCAAGTGAGTTAAAAGAAATTGTTTTCGTCTCTAAAACAAATATTGTCTTTCTTAAAAAATAAAATAAAAAATTGATAGAGGAAATAGATTGTCTTAGAGATAAACAATATCTTTTAATTCAAAGACTCTCTATCTAATTTTTTTTATTTCATATGTTAGATAAATCCGTTAAGATGATGCCTAAATGTGAAGTTTTAGAAATAAAATTGAAATTTTGTATAACACGCTTGATAAATTTGTGTATGTGTGAAAGAGAGAGAGAGAGAAAATAAACTCACTCTAGTATTTATCCTTAAAACCGCCTTGCAAAGAAACCGAAAAATAAAGATCGTTCAAAAATTGATAAAAACCATAAAAATCGGTCATTTATCTGATTCATCATGTTGGACAATGTCACCATGTTATCTTTATTTTATTAAAAAGAAAAACTAAACAAGATAATTCTACTTTGAGCTTATAATTATAATGTAGAAAAAAACTATCCACTACTTCAAATATTAGTGTTTAGAGATCAAACATTAGTGTTTAGAGAGAAAGAAGAAAATAATTGGGAGTGATTGATGTCTCTTGTGAAAAAATGGTGGCCACTACATTATGTGAGAAAAGGGAAGAAGAAAAAGTAATCTCTATAAAAGTGCATTAGGGTTTTGTTCACAAATCAAAAATTGAACCTCCACTTAAATGATCCAACACTCTATTTTTTTAATATTTCAAATATAAAAAAATTTAAGTTTTTTTTTAATTTAAAATAAAACACAATTTAGCATTAGTGTGCCTTTATAAAAAATTAATATCTAACATTATTATAACATTAATAAAAATATTAAATTAAATAATTATTTGTTGTGAATCTTGTTGTGAATTACGATAAAATTCAATATCAATTTGTGAGGCAAGGAACAATAGCAACCAAAATAAATGGTCTTCAACAATAATAATCCGTACACAGATGATATAATAGAATAAGGCCAGAAAAAACCGAAGGTCTGTTTACCCAGTTCGATCAAACGATCTACTCTGGGGGAGAGAGCAGTTCTTCAATTCACTATACTCAGAAAGTTGTTACAAGAGAGTACAAATGAGTTACAAGAAAATAGCCTTCGCCTTCAGATTCTCAAGAACAACCCTGAAGACGCCCAAGAACAAACCTATTTTTTGCCCAAGTGTTTCCCTACCTCTCCAACTATTAATATATGAATCACTCAAACCTCTGAAGACGCTCAATATATGAATCACCTTGGGTTTGAGTGATTCATATATTGAGCGTCGGAGAGGTAGGGAAACACTTGGGTAGAAAATAGAGTTTTTCTTGGACGCCTTCAAGGTTGTTCTTGGGAACCTGAAGGCGATGACTATTTTCTTGTAACTCATCTGTAATTTTTTGTAACAATTTTTTTAGTATAGTGAATTAAAGAGCTGCTCTCTCTCCTAGAGTAGATTGTTTGATCGAACTGGGTAAAAAAATCTTCGATTTTTTCTTGTATTATTCTGTTATATTATCTGCGTACGGATTATTATTGCTGGAGACTATTTATTTTAGTTGGTATTGTTCTTTGCCTCACAAATTGATATTGAATTTTGTCGTAATTTACAACAAAATTCATAATATTATTAATAAAAAAATAATTATATTTTAGTGTGTGTATGAAAATTTTAAAATTAAAATTATTAATTGAATTTTTTTTGTGTGTGTTATAACATATACTTAAAATATATATTTAGTTATTACCGGTTGAACCTCGATTAAACTCAAGTTTAACCTTTGAACCTCAAACCCCTTAACACACCGGTTTAACCTCTGATCCAGCTTTGATTACCTTGGTTTTTGGTCAAAGATTGGATCAGATTTTATTACTAATTAGCTTAGCAATATGATCAAGTAATTTATTTGACAGTTGGACGAAGATTGATTCAGATTTAAATGAAGATTTAAAATTGAATTTAAATTGAAACAAATCATATCTTGTTGGACATATTTATGGAACAGATAATATCCAATAGATTATGCATTAATTCTGGAGAAAATTAAAGCTATTATCCAAGGAAAAAAGTCCAGTGTTATTATGCTATATAAGGAGCTCAAAATCTACATTGGAAGTTAAGTAATACATTGAAGATTTTAAAGTGTTATGGTTTATTTTGAGTCCTTATAGTTGTTGTATGTACTGTTAGAACACATATTGGTTCTTAATAATAACTCTTTGTTTTGATGATAACTGTTAGGAAATTTTATATTTAAGAATTATATACTCTAAAATTTGTTTGAGAGTTTTACTGCAGATTGAAATGAAATTAACTCTCTAGAAGCAAATCTGAAGTGTATACAAGAAGTTATCCTGACTCTGAAGCGCCAGATGCATTCATTAGAAGATTCTGATTGCTGTTTACAGAAGATCCTGAGCGTAGTCTCCAGAAGGATCTGAAGCAAGAAGCTCCAGAAGATTCTGAAGCTAGTCAGAAGCATCTAAAGCAAAGAAGAATATTGTATGAAGAGTTTCTCAAAGCATAGTTTCTACAGAAGTTTCTGAAAGTACTAACGCTGCCAAGTACTGAAGTTCTGTGTCAAATATGCTCTGATGATCAACACGCTGAAAGCACACATGCTGCAGAAGACTCTGATACAACAAAGTTCTGAACATCATTAGAAGACTCTGACTCATTCAGATTCTGAAGAACTTGCTGAAAACTGAAGAAGAAATATTCAAAGATTATATCCGTTGGAGTAAATCAAACGTCTCTTTCCTCATTTGTGCTAGACACAAGAACACAGACAAAAAGGATTGTTCTGTGCTTTCTACTTCTAGGAAAGGTCACTTGATGTGAAGACAAAAAGGCTCATACCTTTTTGGGACACTCTTCTCAACGTTAGCTTCCTTGGATCAGCTGCCTATAAAAGGAAGACTCCACCAAATTCTTCAGTAACACAATTTGCTGAAAAGAAATCATATTATTCAAAGCTCTCATTCTTTCATATTCTTTTTAGAATTTCTTGTACTTAAACTTAAGAGAAAAATCACTGTTGTGATAAAAGCTTTATAGAAGCATTAATACTCTTGTATTTGATTTACATTGATTGTAAAGGTTTTCCTTAAGAGGATTCAGTTGGAATCAGTAGCTCTTGAGAAGACTAAGAACAGTTGTTCTTAGGTGTTACTATTGTAATTTGTTTGATTAAATAGTGGATTAAGTCCTTGTTGAGAAAGGAAAATCACTCTAGGAAGGGTGGACTGGAGTAGTTGTTTTCAACGAACCAGGATAAAAATAATTGTGTTATTATTTTTTAAGTCTTAATCTTTCATACTTATTCAACCCCCCTTCTAAGTATTATCTCACCTTCAGTTGGCATCAGAGCTCCGGTTCTGTGTGTACTACCACTTAACAGTGTCAGTAAAGATCCAGAGAGAAATACTTTGATATATATTTATTTTTGTTACAATGGCTGATAATTCAATATCCAATATTAACAATAAATATGAAGAAAGGGACAGGATCAGCATCAAACCCCCTATGTTTGATGGGGAGAAATTTGACTACTGGAAAGACAGAATTGAGAGTTTTTTCCTAGGATATGATGCTGATCTATGGGATCTAGTCATAGATAGATATGTCCATCCCACAGATGGGAATGGCAAGAAGATTGACAGAAAATCTATGACAGATGCTCAGAAGAAAGATTTTAGAAATCATCACAAAGTCAGGACTATATTACTGAATGCAATTTCACATACTGAGTATGAAAAAATTACAAACAGGGAAACTGCTTTTGATATGTTTGAATCCCTAAAAATGACTCATGAGGGAAATTCTCAAGTTAATGAGACAAAAGCTCTGGCTCTGATCCAGAAGTATGAGGCCTTCAAAATGGAAGACTCTGAAT